TGTTTTTATAAAGATAAAAAAAAATACAATTTCTAGGTGTCTAAAATTTGCTTTAATTACAAAATAAATTTATACTTAATATATTTTATTTGTAATTTGTAGCTTACAAATTATTTATTTCTTGTTTTGTTTTAAGTGATTCTATAATTTTGGTATAATTTTATATAATAGTATTGAAGGGTTTAGTACTATTCTTTTTAATATTTAGTTAAAAAATGTCTATTTATAGTTAGTTATAATCTTGCTTATCATTTATTTTATATTTTTCTTTATTGTAATATTTTGTTTGATTACTTAAATATAGGTTTAGGATCAAGATTCTGTTTGATAACTAGCTATTATATTAATAGATTTAGTTTTTATTCTATTGTTGTTTTATTATTATTATATATGTCAGTTTGATTAGTTGTTATTTGAATGCTTTCTGCATATCAAATAATTATTTTATTATTATTTTTGGTAATTAAATTTGTATCTATATCTATAGGCATATTATAATTGTTATTTATAGTAATGTAATATTGGCTATTATATAAATAATTATTTGTTTATTATTATTGCCTGTTACATTTGCACTTGCATTATTAAAATTTATTAAAACTGGTTTATTGTTATTATTATTTATATAAGTTAATATTATTGTATTTTCTAATAAAAATAAATCTAATTACTTATTTTTTGTATTATTTTTGCTCTGAAAAAAAATATATATCTTCTTTTTGTTATTTAATCAGTATAAGTCTTGTTTAGCTTGTTGTTAACTTTATTTTTAATATTTATTTGTTATTTTATTATTATTAGTAGTTGTAACTATATCTAAAAGGAAAATTTGAATATAAGGTTCTAGAGCTGTTATATATTTTCTTTAGTTATAGTAGTAGTTTCTTTATCTCTTTTTTTCTTAATTTTTGTTTTGTTTATCATTGATATATCTATATTAAGTTGCCAGTTGCAGTTTATTAAACTCAGACTGTATTTTTTATTGTATATTTATTTAGTTTTCTCTGTTTGCTTATGCATTGTATATATTAAATTTTTATTTTTTTAGTAAATTAAGATTTGCAATAAAACAAAATTAAAAAATTTTTTTTTAATTCAGCAGTCCTGCCACTACTTTATTGAACACTTTGTAATTTTATAATAAACTTGTTTTATCCTACATGGTTTGCCTATCTAGGCATTTATACTAAAGAATAACCTACTTGGTTGTCCTAGTGATACCTAAGTGTGACCTGCTATAGCAAACTTTACCTTATACAGTTTCTTCTCTTAGAGCAAGAGAATGTACTTAGCTCTATAGTTAGCATTTGCTGCCTGTCAATTACTGCCTTTTAGCTTGTATTCCAGCTTGCATGAATATCTTTTTGTACCCAGCTATAAACTTCTATATTTGCAATCTTTAGGATTTCTGTTCAATTCTTTTTAATTTTTTTATTATTATTTGGCATGTCTTTTTCAGTAAATACCTTCTCTAAGCTTCTATTTTGTTTTTCTTCTTCTTTACTTTTACTTTTATCTCTCTTCTTTTCTTTCTTAGTACTGTTCTGTCTTTTCATCACTTGAGTGATACTAATTTTCTTTTTTTATTCATTAACTATAGCACATCAATCTTTCCAGATTCTTTTTTGAAAGAACTTTAACCACTTGTCGAGAAAGATAGTTGCTGCAAAACAAAATTAGAAATTAATTTGAAGCTAATTAATAAATTGATTAAAATTTTTTAAAAAAATTAAAAAATTGAAAAAATATTTTTTTAATTTTTTTTATTTTTTATAAAAAATATTATTAGAACAATAATATATTTTATAAAATAAAATTAGATAAATTGTTATTTCTAGTTTAATAAAATTAGTAATACAAATTATATTTAGGTAATATATAAATAATTAAATAATAATAAACTTATATAAAAAAGTATAGTAACTTAGTAAAATAAATAAGTTGTTATTCCTCCAAGTAATATATTGTGAGTTCAATCTACTGATGATGAAATTTAGATAATTATCTATGTAACATATAGATAATATTACAGTAACAACATTTTGTCAATTAGTTAGAATAGGATATCTGTAACTATGATCACATTAGCATAATTGGCAGGTTTAAGGCATCTGTATAACCTATTATACAGAGGAATGCAAACTAATACTAGGTGGTACAAACCTAAAATAAGTTCTTAGATCATATAAATCTGTAGAACTGAAAAGTCAGAGCTCATCTGGAAATTCTAAGCAAAAAGGTAACACAGATCTTTGACAGTACTACTGTAAAGGCTAGTTCTAGAAAATAGATACCAATGTGAAGGAATCAAGCAAGCAAGAACCTTGAGTAAGAGGTACTACTAACCAGGCTGCCAGATTTCAAACCAGAGAAAAAGAATATTGGACTGGCCTCAATATACCAAAGACAAGTTACAGTTCTTTCAGGCTATCTGGATTGAAAGTCTGAAGTCAAAGCAGAGGTATACTAAAAGTACTAGGAATATGCTGTAAATTTAGTACTGAACTCTGTAAAAATAGCTCTTGTTAGTGTTCTAAAAGTGTGCAGATAGTTAACAATAGAAGGCTCTCTGCATCTTACTGGCAGATAATGTACTCTAAAATATGTAACAGTCTGAGAACCAGTACAAAAAGGTAGGTACCATACTGCTCAGACAGTATACTGATTAGATATATACTGAAGGTTAGTTAGAATTACATCATAACAAAGCAGATGATTAAAGGGTTTAAATAGATAATCTTCTAGTAGGTTATAAATATGGCATCTAGTGTAGAACCTTAGGGCAGACTATTTAAATAAGCAACTAAAAGTTGTATATATGACTAGTTGTACTCTCATCTTTGTAAAAATAGTTGTAATAACTAATCTAATAAAAGTTAATAAAGTATTACCACAAAGTATAGCCTTTAACAAAAAAAAGATCAATAAAAAAATAAACTTATATATATTATTTATTAGCTAATTATTTCATGTAAAAATATTTTGCTATAAAATTCTTTTTTTTGGTATTAAAATAACCTTTTTGGTCTTTTGACTATTAAATTTTAAAATACCATTTTACAGTTACTTTTATACATTTTATAAGTAAGCTGCTTATATTAACTTAGTAGTATAATATACTATTATATCTGTTAAAAAATATATTTAACTATTGCTTTATAATAAAACTACTAATTTAATAAGATTTTTTTATAGAAAAGCAAAAAAAAATAAAAAAAAAATAAAAAAAAAAATATAGAATATAATAATAAAAGATATAATTAAAAAATAAAAAATACTGACTATTTTAATAAATTTACATAATAATTTTTTGAAAAAAGTAAATTAAACCATACATTTTTATAAATTTTTTTCAAAGAAAAATAAAAATCAACAAAATTATATAAGATTCTTTATATAAGTTTTACAATTGTATAATAATTTTTTCAAATCTCAATAGTTCTAACAAAGATTTTTGTGTTCTCTTATTTGAATGCTAAACATACTAAAGAAATTATAAAAGAAAACTGGATCCAAAATACAAACTTACCAAGTATTGTTTTGTTCTGTGCCTTGATGTTTATGTCGCATCTGAAGTAGCGATTTATTTAAAGTAGCGCCTGGCTAAAATTAAGCCCCTGAATTAGATGTTCATGCATGCATTAGATTTTAATTTTAGCCAGGGTACTACTTTAGATACAGTATATAAAGTGGCTACTTTAGATAAATCGCTACTTCAGATGCGACATTTACAAGTTCTTGGCTTCGTCAATTGTATAAGTGACAAGGTCCCAATATTAAATAAGCTAATTATAATACAAAATAATCCTCAATAATTATGTGGTTAGGGTTGACCAATGAGATTTAATCAAACATCCTATAGCATGTATTCATTTAAATCTTCTCCCTGTGCATAAGCTCAAAATAATGATTTTGATCGGCTAAGCTGAAGTATGAAAATTTTAGAAATAAACCAATTGTATTTTTGATCAAAACAAAGTAGAAAATGTATTTAATTTTTAACAAAGTGTGATTGACATGCATTATGTCAGTAATACAATTTATTTAGAATCTCTAAATACAGGAGTTACATAATCTATAATATTTTTTACAAAAGAGTGCGACTGTATTGCGTAAATTTTTTAAATTTTGATTTTTTGTTCATAATTTTGTAAACTTTCTGACGACTTTCTAATGCAAACATATCATTTGGATCAATTTCCAATGATTCATTAAAATCAACAAGAGAGTTTTCATATTTATTCATCATGCGATAAGTTTCTCCACGACTACTTAATGCAAATGCATTTTTTGGTTCAATCTCTAATGATTTATTGAAATCAGCAAGAGATTCATCATATTTGTTCATCTTGCGATAAGTTTCCCCACGACTACTTAATGCAAATGCATTTTTTGGTTCAATTTTTAATGATTTATTAAAATTAGCAAGAGATTCTTTATATTTTCCCATCATGCGGTAAGTTTCACCACGATTTCTCAATGCCTTTGCGTTATCTGGATCAATTTCCAATAATTTATTTAAATCAGCAAGAGATCTTCTATATTCGTTCATCTTGCGATAGGTTATTCCACGATCACATAAAGCTTCAACATTATTTGGATCAATCTCCAAAGATTTATTTAAATCAGTAAGTGATTCATATATCTGCTCATTTTTCGATAAGTGCATCCGCGAATTACCAGTGTATCAGCATTATTTGGATCAATTTCTAATGATTCATTTAAATCATCAAGTGATTCTTTGTATCTCTTCATCATGCAGCGAGTTGTACCACGACTTTTTAATGTGAATGCATTATTAGGATCAATTTCTAATGCTCTTGTTAAGAAAATAAGAGATTCTTCATATTTTTTATTTTCACGACAAGAATTTCCTTGATTTAACAATGTTTTTAATGAATTGCTTTTATAATCCACAGGTGGTAACTCTCGTTTTTCTATAAACATAAATTATAGTTTGGATAAATAAAAAAATATTATTATTTAATTCTGATAATAAATTAAGACAAACCTATCGTATATTTTGAATTTGTATAATCATCACTAATCCTATTACTACGATTAAATTCTTGCTCTCGAATGTATTTTAATTTATCACGGATTTCTGTTATGTTAGGACGTAAATTCGGATCATCATTCCAAGCGTCACTATAAAGACTTATGAAATCTTCGGGAGTTCCGTCAATTGGGATTTCTCTTTTACCAGAGATTACATGCAATGATAATTCTGTCATATCTTTTATATCTTTAAACGGAGGAATGCCGCTCGATAGCTCCCAAAATAGAATGCCGAGACTATAAATATCAGAAGGCTTATTTCGTTTATGTAAGAATGGGCTTTTAAGATATTGTGGATCAGAATAAGCAAATGTTCCAGCAATAATAGACACTGTATTATTTCTTAATAATGATTTTGCTAAACCAAAATCCGTAATTAATAGCCTATTATCGTGCACTAATATGTTTTTGTCATGCTAAAATATAATAAAGTTACACAAATTATTAATTATTATGATAAGTGACGATATCAGAAACAACTTACAAGATCTCGATGAACAATATCAGAATTATGCAAATAATTAACACCACTAGAAATTTCTTCCGCCATTTTAATCTTAGTTGGCCAATCCAATTCCGAAAAATGATCACGCAAATAACTTCTAAGGTCACCACCATTTGCGAATTGAAGTACCATGTAGTAAGTTTCAGTTTCAGGATCTAATTTACATTAAAATTCTTAATTGTTAGATATTTATAAATTTATTTGTCTATTACATAAAAAATTGACGTGCCTTGGGAGATTCCAAAAAACCGTATTATATGATCATGATGGTTAACTTTAGTAATGTTTCTAATCTTAATATGAAAATAGATTATTACTCTTAAAATACATGAGATAATTAAACGTAAATTAATTTGTGTGATATATACTTCTCTAATAAATTCACTGTTCAAACGATCATCATCATGAGCATCATTATGTAAGCTCTTTAAAGCAACAGTTTGTTCAGTATTTTTTGAATAAGCGCTATATACAGTTCCAAATCCTCCTCTATCGATTGTTTGCAAGTCCTCGAAAGAATCAAATTCAAATAATCTTATGTAGCCTTGTTCAATAGCAGTTTTAAACCAATTTGACATGATTATATTCTAAAGGAAGGTTCTTCGATCAAAATACGTGCATATGTACGTACAGATAATGACATTGTACGACAAAGAGTATCATGTAAATAAAGTACAGAAGTACAGAAATACAAAATTGCATAGTTCATTTAAAACCTTAATTTGACTTATTATATCAAAGAGTATTTACAGTTCGTTTCACTATCTTAAAATGGTGAACTTTAAAGCCAATGACATCAAAATATGTATACTTGTAATACCTTATTTCAAGAAAATTACGAACTATCTACCCAAAAATTGGGTTCGTAGTATACCAAAAATTCCTATATAACCCTGTATTTAAATTAATAGCTGCGAATTATAACTAAAATTTCATACCGAAAACTTAGAGTAGATTTTACAATTTCTCGGGGTTTTTTTACGTTACACGAGATTCTGTAATTTTATTCAGCCCGGGAACAATGGTCAATCAGCAAATCTTACGTTTTTGATGTTTCTGCTAAAACTATCCAATAGGTTTGTATGGTTTATAATAAAACATCAATAATAATTGTAGGGTATGTTTAGTGTATCAAAAAAGTAAGTATAGGAGTATCAAAAACGTAAGTTTTGCCACTAATTATGATTGGTCACTTTACAGATCACATGACAACTGACCAATCAATAATCCTTTGTCATAAACGATATGATATTAATTTTATACGTATATTTATAAGAACTTGAATATATAATACGCGACAACTCAATAGTAGGAATAGATTAAACCGATTCAATACAATTTAATTTGGGCGGGAAAATTAAGTTGTCATATGCATCTATTGTTTTATAAAATTATCAAACAAGAATCACAATCCTTCGTAATACACGATAACATATAAGTCATCTTTAAATGTAGACCATAAGTGAATAAAGTAGAACCTATCTATTTATTTAAACAAAAAAAATCTAAATGAATAAGTTTTTTTATCTTAAACGATACTAAAAATCTTATTTGACTTGTCAATTTCAAGATTTCGAAACGTAAAACCACTTACCAAACGTTTCTTCATATCTAAATAATGCTTCAAGTGTTTGTAATCTATTTTAATTTAATATTATCACGAAGCTATTACTACTTTCAAGCTTTTTCTCAAGCTAGTTGACTAGACTATTTGTAATGTTAACGCTTATATTTATTAAACATTGCTATTTTTTTAACTTTAAAAAAGTGTCTCTAAGTGAAGTATACTGTGACGACAGATATTGTGATACCGCATATCGTGATCGATCACGTGAAAAATACACGAAATGCAATAAGTTGCATTTGTGATCGAGAACGGTATTTCGGATCCAGAGGGGTAGTATGGGAGGATGTAAGGAGAAATTACACATCCTTAA